TATCAGTCTCATTTAGTCTAATGACATATTTTGGGTGTATCTTTTGATTTTACAATGCACCCTGAACATTTTGTTTCTAATGACATATTTTGGGTGTATCTTTTGATTTTACAATACACCCTGAACGTTTTGTTTCATAATATTTTTAAAGAGTGCAATTTTAATAGCTGACCGGAGTTTTTATTAAATGTGGCTAAATCTCGAATTAACTTTTAATCTGTGGAAAAATGATTTTTTTTTTTCATTATTTATTTGTAGAGTTTTGGAAGTCAACTATGGGACAGTACTCTTGCAACTCAAGCAGTTATTTCGACCGGAATGGTTGAGGAATACGGAGACTGTCTTGAAAAGGCGCATTTCTTTATAAAAGAATCTCAGGTTCTATAAGCTGAAAACAAATTTTATTTTGAGCTATAAAGTCCATCTGTGTCACTAGAAATTTGGATCTCAATACGCATAATAACACGGTGCAGATAAAGGAAAATCCTATAGGTGACTACAAAGGTATGTATCGTCATTTCACTAAAGGTGCGTGGACTTTCTCTGATCAAGATCAAGGTTGGGTCGTGTCCGATTGCACAGCTGAAGCACTTAAGGTAAACTTATATCGTTATTAATTTCGGAAATGAATTTATTAAAGACAAGGACTACTGCAAAGAAAAAAAAAGGAATTTGATTGTAAAACGTGGTAAATATCATTGTTTCAGTGCCTGCTATTGCTGTCTCAAATGCCAGCTGAAATCTCGGGAGAAAAGCCTGATGTTGAGCGCTTGTACGAGGCTGTCAATGTGCTGCTTTATTTGCAGGTACGAATTTTTCACCATGGTGTGTTAACAATCCCTATAACTCACAATACTTTGTTGTAAAATAATGTGCACTATATTATGTTGTTATAGAGTCCTCTCAGTGGTGGATTTGCCATCTGGGAACCTCCGATACCACAACCGTATTTGCAGGTAAAAAAAAGTTTAATTTATAATTTCGACTAAAGTCGAACCAAACATAACAGAACAAAATTCCAACTATTATTTGTTTTATTGTTTTTTTTTCAGGTTTTGAACCCCTCAGAACTTTTTGCTGACATAGTTGTCGAGCAAGAGTAAGACCTTCATTTCTCTCTCTCTCTCTCTCTCTC